CGCTTGTCTCGCCGTCTCGCAAAGACTCGCATTTACCATTCGCCACCGGTTCTAGTTTTGTTCTTCTTTAGTTTTTAATGATTTTAGTGTTTAGCAATCGACCTCATCGCCCGATGAAGCCTAGCAGTATAGCAGTCGAAACGTCGCGATCAGCATCTCAGTGAGTCCATCGTGAGACAAACGAGTAAAATTCATCTTGGCTAGATATTGTTTCATAGCTCACTTTTGTAATGCGGAGGTGATCGTCTATTCATGCAACCTGCGCAATATAAATATAAATAAAAATGATAGTTATTATTATGTTTCGTGTTTTTACCGTATAGTGAAGTGGTCTAATTTTGTTTGTTTTTTTTCAAATCATGTTCTTATTTTTAGAAATTTTCTATTTCCAAATCCAAATGTGGAATTAAATTGAAAATAATTATTGTGCCTGACATATTGATGTATCTTGTCGCTTATCCGTGTTGATCAATAAAATGATCGGTAACAGCTTAGATTGCTTCAGACCACGAAAAGTGCATGTTTAATATCAACTAGAAATCGAACTTTGGCACCAATGTTGTACTAATCAAATGTCAGACCTACCAATAATTGAAATTTGCGATTATTGGACGAGGTATGGTGATTTACGAAACACTGACAAATAACGATATGTTACGATAACCGAGTTCAAATATTGTTTTATCATTCGATCAGCAAATTTGTTTTCTTATTTAAATCAATCTCTCCCGAAAACTTTGAAGAGACACTGAATGTAATAATTAGTTCAACTACTTGCACGTAGAATTTGAAAAGAAGCATTTAAACATCACGGAAAAGGCTTTTGAGCGTCCAACAGTGACCGAATGAAGCAAAATGGAAGCAGGCACGCGCACAATTCCGTTCATAAAATTAAGGTTAACACCTCAGTAAATTTACTTTATCCTTCATTGGATCAATTCCAACCAACACAGTTGTAGTTTTCATGGTAATGTCCGCGTACACAAACTCTACTTTCATTTGACTTGCACACGGAACAGCTCGCCAACGGTATAAGTTCGGATTTCCCCATAAATGTTTCTTCTCTATCAGAATTTTCCTAACTATAAATGATTTTACAAGGGAATGGAGGAGGAATATTTTGAATGAGAACTGTCTCAATCGCTTCCCACCTACGCTTCATTCAGCTTAAAAAGTGGACACCGCACCGGACCACAAGTCGGAGTCCCTGTCAATATTTAAGAGCATCTTACAAGTTTTGTCATTGTCTTCTTCGTGCGACTTCCACTGTGATCTTTCTAATTGGATCATAGGATTATTGACTTTTTACTATTTATATTATGATTTTATTGCTTTTATCTGTATATTTTAGCTACTAACGTTACCATAATTATATTATCATATTTTGACCTGGTAGGGCACATTTGCATTTAAACGAGCCTTGCTCACATGCGACATGTGGCCACTGCTACCACCACTGCTACTGCAAAAACTGCTACTGCTACTTATACTGCTACTGCTACTGCTACTGCACGCGATACTCTCTAGAGAATTGTTCTTTTATCCATATAAGGATTACTAATTCATATACGCGCGATTTTTAGGAGATTTAAAAGAATTCTCAAGAGTGTCATCACCTGGGGCCCGTTTCTCGTAGGTCCCGAAAAGTTTTCGCACCGAGAAAGACGTAGCAAAATCTCAAATCTTATGACTACAGAGCTGTTTTTTCCACCTATTTTTAATTCGAACAGAGTTCCCTTCATGCAAGAAGTTTCAGGCGTGTACACCTCTATGTCTTTAAATACTGATTAACTAAAAATGGCTTTTCGGGCCCGAAAAGTTTCCGGAGCTTTCGAGAAACCGGCCCCTGGTCTAAAAAATTGTGCTAACTCAGATCCTTGTGAAATGTACCCCATTTGAGGCTTTCATCTTTCTCTAGCACACCAGTAACATTCAATTTTATGTTGGATTGATAATGGTGCTGGTCTAGTCACTCAAAGTTGAACGGTATCGTTACTCAAAAATCCGATCGAGCCACCTTAAATTAACCCCCATAACAATTTTCGTTCACCTCTTGAGTTTAGAAAAGTAAAGATCGCTAGTATTGCTACGTGGGTTCTCTGATAGCTATACTCTTTCTACTTGCCTGCCTGGACATTCTGATGGATCAGATAGCACCAGAAGGTACAGAATATGGCGGATATGACTTGAAAGCATTTCATGACGTCCTTCCTTCCAATCTGCTCTGAAGTACAAGTCAAATTGACACAGTCGCCATAAATTATTGTTATTATTAAAGTCAAAATTTTCTTCCCTTTCTATATAGGGCTGGTTATGGGTTCCAAAGGACGGGGTAAGGGAATGAATCTTGCTCTAATCTCTTGGATTTAACAGTGGTATTTTAAACCAATTGATTTAATTCGCTAGAGCTTATAATATTAGCAAATCCTGGGCGTGTTCAAAGTCGCATATTAAGGTGGCTCTTAACAGTTTCCAACACTTAGATTTTGATGGGT